ATATATTCATTTTAAGAACAGTTGACATTTAAAACTTTATATTCCATAATCTAAACTTATGAAGCATAACTAAGTCTTAATATAACAAATGAATACTTGTTATACTTTACAAGGGGATTTCTTTCACTATTCTGTTAAATGCAGACACTCCAGTATTGAAATTACAATTAAATTCTTTTCTTTAATTTCTGCCTAACTTCTGAGGTACACAGCTATTCTACAAAACTGAATATACATCTGGATAGGGTACTGTGCTAGAGGGATGTTTCAGCCAATATTTAGGGAAAGTCTTATACTACTTCTTGTACGATTTTTCTATTTAATAAGACTTAAAAGAATCCTTACGCCACCACTGAGGGGTTTAGCCAACTATTCAATTATTTATAAGATTACCTGCTCTAACAAATGTTAAAACAAATTGTTCTTCACTTGAGTATGAAATCTTACTCTACTGCTGTACTGAGGGAAGACGTCTACTCCCACTCTTACTAGAAAGCCACAAATACACTGCATCCCAAATTATTCACTGCCATTACTTTTTCCTCAGATAAACGAGAAACGTCTCACATCTAGAAGTGACCTCAAAAAATTCACTCCATTATTTAGGCCAAAGGGCAAGATCAAACACTCTAACACAATAGATTCACTCCTGGATTGCCCAGTCAGAGGACAATTAACATCAAGAAAGACTCTCTCAGGAAACATGTCATGTGATTAGTTACAGAGCAAAACTTTCCTGAAGAAAGTGAAATAAAACACAAAAGTAAAGATTAAAATTTTAAAATAGAGCAGATAAGCTCACATTTTCTTTAACTTAAAACTTGGGGAAAGGAAATTTAGTAGTACCTGAAATAATCACTTTTCTTTGTTTTTTGGTGCTTTTTTGGCACTTTTTTTTTAACATATTCCACCAAAATAATCATCTAGAAATTGTTTGGCACTGCTTTTTACATGAACTATTCTTGTTATAATTCCCGTTAAAAATGTAAAAGATCCATTTAAAGTCACAGCCACACTTTAAATATAACAACTTTATTTCATCTTTGACACCATCTGATAAAACAAAATCTGATAAATGTTAACACTGCAAAACATGCAAATACAGAAAAACGAGAACAATTTAAGTACTGGAAATCAAAAGGCTTTTTGTGAATTGTAATAAAGTTAACAATCCACAATGAAATGCACATCATGGTAGCATCATATATCTCCCACAAGATAAATACTCAGCCTCAGAATTTGACAGAATATATAAAGATCTAGACTAATAGATGAAAAATATCTTAAAACACCTAACAAATCCTCTAGGCCTTATAGTTGGGGGCCCCAACTGGTATGTCAGCATATGCAGAGAAATTGATCCCCTCAGCTTTCAGGGCAGTGGGGTGCAGGTGGCAGCCTGGCCTGAAGTGTCAGAACCAGTTGCCTCCAAGCCGCAAACAACTCCATCAGTTTATTCCACACGCTGTACAATTACCACCATGTCCAAGCTACATGGTTCATGACATGGGCGGGGTTAGGAAATCCTGCAGAGATAAACCCACCCAGATATACAAGCATCCAACTAATCTTTTAATCTCTAGGGAAAAACTGAAAAAAAATTCTAGTTACCCATCATTCTCACTCAAACCTAGGTCTAGAAATTCTAGCTATTGCAAATAGATATTACAAACGTATCTTCCTATTTTTTAACCTGTATCATGCTTCTCCAATATTTTTTTCAACAACGAACTCTGATATACTCAGTTCCCACTTTTTTGAAAACCTACAACGCGCCGGAAACTGCAGCTTAACGTAGAGCACTTATGGTTACAGTGCTCTACTGAAGAATGATTCTATCAGCAGGGAAAATTATTAAATTGGCAAGAAAAAGAAACATAACTCAAAGTCTATTTCAAAGGGAGCCTGGAAAGAGCTGAAAACTAAGAACAAAGCTAGAAAAGGTAAATGCTGTCTATAATTGACCTTTTTAATTTACATCTAACAAAACTATCTATTTGTCAGAGTGATTTTTCCAGAATGAAAGCTTAAGCCGCTCCCCTAATGGAAATCCTTCAATAGTTCCTTAAACCCTACAGGATAGAATCTAAACATTCCCAAATGTTTACAACCTGGACCCTGATTTCGTCTCCTCCAGCTTTCTCTCTCACAGTCTCAGTTCCCCACCGCTATACTCCAGAATGTTGAACTACCTGGTAACTCCTATGTGTAGCCAGACTTTCATGGCTTTTTCACACTGCTCCGCCTGCTTAGAGTGCTTTCTCCTATGCCATACTCCACGCACACACTCTTTCCATGAGAACAGCTCAAACTTAAAAATAGTAATACATAGACAGCTACTACAAACTACGGACGTTACTTAGCAACACCCAAATCTATGCACTATTTACTGAGCACCTATTAAGTGCCAGGAACAGTGTTTAGCACTAGGAATAAAAGTCTTTGCCCTCCAGGAGCTTGCAGATTAGATTAGCTAAAGAAAAAGAGAGCATAGGCAGGTGATTTTAATACAGAATGAGAGGCACTAGAATGAGGCAAGCAGAGTGCTATGGAGAAGCAGCACGGTGGGGTGACCTAGCAAGTGAAGTAAGTGGTGCCTCGATGATAGAAGAGCTCGAGGAACTAGGGAACTAAGCAGAAACTGACTTTAAAAAAATCTTAAATGTGAAGTAAGGAGTTTGGACTTTATTGTAACACCAGCGGTTAAACCCCCAACAGCGCTGTTCAATCTTTGTGGCTCCTCTGTCTTCACAACAAACACAGAGAAATTACAGATAAAAAGCAAAAACAAATCACCGAAATGACATACCTATGCCCCAAAACACGCTAAACATCTCTATGGATCGGAAATGGAACAGGAACACCAAGTGTGAGCTAAGCTGAAGCCAGGAGAGCTGCGAGGCTCTGGGCCCCAAGCAGGAAAAGGCAGCAGGAAGTGGATCCCCGGGGGAACTGTGCATGAAAGAGCTGCAGGAGAAGCAGGGTCCTAGCCAGAGTCAGTAGCCAGAACTTAAATCCAGGGACAGGGTGGCACTCCACCCTGATTATGAAACAGACTGAAAAGGCTTCTGCTAACTGCGCTGAGGCTACGGCCTAGAAAGCTGCTGACCTAATGCCAGCTGACTCAGTGACTGAGTCTGTGATATCCCCAACGTCACCATGGGCCCGGGGCTCTGATCCACCAACACAAGACCTGATTCTGATCTGTGAACTCCAAAGCCAGGCGGAGAAACTGCAAATCTGCTAGACCAGCAGGGGAAATCACAAAGAGAGAGAGAGGAAGACACACACACGCACGCGTGCACACACACACACACACACACATATAGGAGAAAGAAAAAACAGCCCCATCACAATGTGCCTGCAAAACTACAGAACATGATGAAAACACCAACAGTATCAACAACCACAATATAAATTCACTGCAGACAAAATTTTAAAATTATCAAATGATCTGAAAAAGACTTTAAAATAAGCATGTAGAAGATCCACAAAGAGATAAAGGAATAATAAAAGAACCAAAAAATATTTAACATAAAAACAAGCAGAATGAGAGAACTAGTAGATATAAAAAAGACCCAATTAAAAATCTTGCAAATGAAGTATAACCATTGTAATTTACAAATAAAAATTTTATGTGGTTCAGACACTTATTAGCTGTCTAACAGGCCATCGCTCCCCCTGCCTTCGTCCTCACAGGGCTCTATGAGCTTTAGGGGGAAACAGTGTACAAGACACTGTGCTAGGCACTGAGATTCAAAAATGAAAGACACATGGAACCTGTCTTCAACAAACACTCCGTCTGTAACAGTGATGCTAACAGAACACTAAGGCTGCAAAGTAGAAAAAAATTTAGTTAAATTTCCAAAAATAGAAGTATTTTTTAAGTTAAAATGCTCTTAGTTTTCATGAACTCATATTACTATCTTTACTGGAGTTGGCACTTTACATGAGATAAACATTCTCACAAAATTTCACATGAATGGAGCGGAAATAACAATAGCTGCTTCCTTCTTGATCTGTATTTGAACTCGTCAACAACTATCCCTGTTTATTCAAAGTATACCACCAAAAAAGTACTCCACCGAAAAATCTAGAAAATCAAAGACTACTTCTGGCAATATTATTCTTAGTAGAAAGCACTCAAAGATTTCACAATAACAACTTCATTTTCATTTATCAACTGTCTATTTAAATTGATGAGAAGAAAAGCTAGTCTATTCATATTACTGTAAATATAAACAATATGAATAATATGCGAAAATTTTTAAACTCTCTAATATTATATTCCAATAAGGAAAAGCTCACACCATCCTAAAGTTTCCATAATCAAAAAAGCTGCACTTTTTAAAAGTATATCAACACCGTCACAGGATCCCAGTTAGGGTAAAAATTGTAATTCTTTCCTCACTCTTTAAAAGTAAACAGTTAATACGAAACAGTAAAATCCAGTTCTCTTGTTCACAAGCAGAAGTGAATAGGAACGAGAGAAAATATTACACATCTATCTCCTTACACCTGAGAAGATAAAATCTACCAAACTTGGTAAGTCAATACCATAGACTTGGCTCCTTAATCCATCAAACACATTGATAAAGAGACTGGGGTTTTCTCCTTAAATATAATATTAACCCATGTTAACCAATAATTAAATTCCACACAATAAAATCTCTGCAAATTATAGTCACTGTAATTTTCCCTCCTACTTCTGAAGAGTCATTTGCCAATGGTAGTCAACAGAAAAGTTTAGATAATAGAACCATATCAGCCAAGAAGCTAATGACAGAGATTTCTTCAGCATGACTTCTTAGAATAAATCAAACATCAAAAGTATCTCCTTATTTAAATAGAGACGCGTACAGTATTGGGCTGAACCAGATTATTCAACCTGTGATGAGATAACATAATTCTAATTTGTCCAATAACAAATTTTTCTTTTTTTGGTACCATACTGCAAATGCGCCTGAGTTTGCTGCGATGAAACACGGAAGGACACTTACTCATGACTGGAAATGTCTCTGTATGTTGTCCCAATCAGATCTTAAACCAAAATCTGCTGTCCAAGATTTCTCAGAGGAATACATGTCCTGGTCAGAAAACAAAGAGAAAGAAATCATGTTTTCTAAAGGTCAGTATTTAAAATAAAGTTTTCTAAAAAGAAATAAGGAAAAAATTTAGTTTTAAAACTTTTCTATCTCCAAAAGAACCCTGTGGCATCATCTAAATATAAAAGACTGCCAATCAATCTTTAGAATATCATATTTTCCTTTTTCTGTAAGAAGCTATCTCGAAAGCAAATAATATGTATAAAGTAATTACCACACAGAAACTCATTAACAGGTGTCCTGTGTCTTCAGTTACTAAAAACTTATTCCCTCCCCATTCCCAAGTAAAGAACTCACAGAAAGAAAGCACTCCACTGACAGTTAATCCAGCATGTTGCACCTGCCACAGTTATTTTGATTGTACATAAATGATTTATATATTATATGTCATCAAATAAAGATCACCAAAGTTATTGCTATAGACTTTCTCTGACAATGGGCATTTTCCTAATCATAAAAGTAATATGGGCTCTTCTTTTTTTTTTAATTGGAAACAGAAAAGTAGAATGAAAAATTCTCTTGCAACACAATGCCAGTACATCTACCCAATCATTTAGGGCATGTTTCCTTTCAAGGAATTTTCTGAAAGTACTTTAAAAATATACTTTATAGAGCCAGCCCTGATGGCCTAGCAGTTAAAGTTCTGTACACTCCACTTCAATGGCCCGGGTTCAGTTCCTGAGCATGGAACCACACCACTTGTCTGTTAGTAGCCATGCTGTGGGGGCAGCTCACACAGAAGAACCAGAAGAATTTAAAACTATACACAATTATGTACTGGGGGTTCGTTAGGGAAAAAGGAAGAAAAAAGGTGGAAGATTGGCAACACATATTAGTTTAGGGTAAATCTTCCCCTGCAAAAAAAAACAGTTTGTGTATATATATACACTTTATAAATACCACATACAAAATTTTGTATTTGGTTTTTTCCTCTTGAGTATAACATAAAGCATCACCCTGTATTAACACAAATACAAACTTAAACCTATGCTAAGATTTACATTATAAATCTTCCTCTCTTGATTAATATATTAAAGAAAATGAAGCATAAATTAATACTAATGCTATATTTAAACATAACCATGGATGCATAAATGCCTCCCCAAATCTAATATATAAAATTCCAGATAAGATCAGATTCCATACAAAATTTACACTTGTGCTAACTCATGTGTAGCCTCCTTCATAAACTGATAAGGTTCCCCAAATCTAATATATAAAATTCCAGATAAGATCAGATTCCATACAAAATTTACACTTGTGCTAACTCATGTGTAGCCTCCTTCATAAACTGATAAGGTACTTCTTACAATCACAAAAAGTGACGATTACTCTATTTTCTAAATCAAGTAAGAAAACAGCACAATACTAAGGACCTCTGCTTTTGAACAGACTAAAGTTAGGGTAACAGTTTTTGAAAAAATAATGCTTGCCCTCTCTATATACCTTACTCATGTTGTGTAACATACATGAGAAGTATAAATTTGCAAAATGAAAAAACAACGCATCAGCATCTGTATGCACAGCATGGTGCACACACTGTAATTAGCAGTGGCATATAATCATAGTGCTACCACATGATCACCCCATCCTGGTCCCACGTGCTTCCTTTTTTATCTAGGCAGTAGATACTATTAAATGATTTTCATTTCCAGATACCCCAGTTATTCCAAAGGAAATGAGAAGTTGTATGGAAAATCTAAAACAACATATAATCCACATGTTAGTTTTAGAATACATGATGAAGTTTCTCACAATAAATACACTTTCTTGATGGTGCTTCACTGAGTTTATTAGATTTGCTTGTCCTCCCAGGAAACTATGAGGTCGAACATGCTGAAGGATGACACAGGAAGGCAATCCCACCTTACAAATAGACAAAGTAGATTAAATGTTCACGGATGACCCAGGAGGTCACTTACAGTTCATTTCTACTTGTAGAGTCTAGTTTCTTTGCCCAGGGACTTTTCTCTTTGTTCTTGTTTATATCAAAGTTTTTTATCTTAAATTTAAAATTCCTAAGTGGCAACATCAAAGCACTTTGTACTAAGCAGGGCACCCCTCCTGCCCATAATCATAAATTGTCAACCAAATACTTACTCAAGAATTGAAGGTCTTGAGATATTAAGAGTTTTCTCAGCACTAAAAATTGTAAATACAAAAACGCCAGGATAATAAAACTTATAAACACTAGATTTATAACCCCGCCATCCTAGGTGATAAATGTGCTTTACAAATATGCAACGATACACGTGTTCATGTGTTGGAATGAATGTAAAACGTCATGGTGTAGTCCTTAGAAAGATATTTTTAAATTGCTTATAACTAAGTCACTTGTTCAAGATTCCTTATGCTAATCACAGCTTTGAAGTGTACATCCTCCCTTTTACTTTCAAAGTAGGTAGTCTTCCAATTCTTTTACGCATGGAGGCCGGTCAGTAGCACATAAGATAAAACTTTCACATTCTGTTCCTCCTCCCAGAGATGCTATCCCCTCCCACTGGACACACAAAGAAGAAAGAAGAAAAACTGTAATTGCTGTTTTTCACACCATCCATGAGGGAAAAAGTAATTTGTCTTAAATCCACAATTTCACATAAAAGGCATATTGTGGTATTTCTGCAAAATCTGACCTCTAAACTCATTTTCCAGGAACTTGAGTCATTGCTATTTATTCTCAGCATGAGAATTTATACTCATGCTAACCTAATACTGGTTCTTTCAAGTGACTCCTCCAACTTTGGCGACAAAACTTGACATGCATGAATTACAGTAAGGCTACACAGGCCTAAGATAACCCATCCTCACAGCGGACTCAGGGTCTAGTTCAAAGGAAGGCAAGCTCCGTCATATCCTTTTCTTTACTGCAAGCACTAAACTTGGCCTAAAAATGATTTCTGCCACTTTTAGACAGTTAAAACCTCTGGAAGTATCTAAAAGAAATTCTGGTTTTTATAACACCAGATAATCTATTCTAGAACTAGTTCAGTAGGCCCAATTTCAATTATTTTAAAACTTTAATAGAATTATAAAACACAATATATGGTATCACATTCTATTCTTTCTAATAATATTCTTTCAGGAGACCAAATTAACTTATTTCATTATACTAACTTCTCCTGTGAAAAAAATACACAAAGAATCCCAGTCTCCACTACATGCTGATGTGATCTCCATTTGTCACAAATTCTAACTTTAACAAATCAAATTTAGGGGCTGGCCCGCTGGCTAAGTTCACATGTTCCACTTCGGCGGCCGGGGGTTCACTGGGTTGGATCCCAGCTGTGGACCTACACACTGCTAGTCAAGCCACGCTGTGGCAGGCATCCCACATACAAAGTAGAAGAAGATAGGCACAGATGTTAACTTAGGGCCAGTCTTCCTCAGCAAAACAGAGGAGGATTGGCAGTGGATGTTATCTCAGGGCTAATCATCCTCAAAAAAAAAAAATCAAATTTAATCTTAAAGACATTATGCTACGTGAAGCAAGCCAGTCATAATAGGAAAAATACTCTTATGATTCCACTTAAATGAGGTACCAAAAGAGTCAAATTTATAGGGACAGAAAGAATGGTGGCTGCCAGGGGGTGGGGAAGAGGGGAAACAGGGAGTTACTGTTTCAGTTTGGGAAGATGAAAAAAGTTCTGAAGATGGATGGTGATGGTTGTGAATATGCTTAATGCCTCTGAACCACACACTTAAAAATGGTTAAAATGGTAAATCTTAGGTATATTCTACCACAATAAAAAAATACAAATTAAAAAAAAAAAAGAATCAAATCTACTTACGGTTCCAAAAGAGTAAGTGAATCCTAAAGTAACAGAGATTTATGACAAAGAATCTAGACGTTTTTATTAACAAACATTAAAAACCAACTGCACTTTTCTAAAACATTTTGCTATAAAGGAAGAAAAAGCGTGTATCTCAGAAATAGCTAGAATTCATTATTTAGGTTTCTTAAAATCCCTCTAACTCAATTACCAACACAGGTTCCTGTTCAATCCAGAAGCAAACACACACACTGTCAACATTGAGTGTCAAAAGCCCTTTTCTCTTCCTCCAACACCCTCATTCTCTATGATCCCTCAAGCTCCCTTGTTTTTTTCCATCTACTTTCAAAATACTGTTCTCTCCAAACATATGTATACTTTTTCATTCAGGTGCTCTTGTACAGATGAAATACTTACTGGCACCAAGAAGCTGAAGATGATGGCTAAGACTTTAAAAAGTAGCCACAGCTCTATTTTTACCTTTCAGCATCCTTAAATTTTTTGTAGAATAAGGAGGACAAAGTAATTATTTAATTAATTCTTTCTCATAATTTTTACCTTCATAGTCAGTTTCACTTGAAGAACTTCCACCACTCTGCTGTGAACTTTCCAATTTTTATCATTCAAGATAAGTACTTCTCCAACTAGAAATAAAGCTGTCAAGAATTTCTGTTTCTGAGATTCTTGTGTCCAAATGCCTTGTGAACCCTCTTGCTACACGACACCTAAAAATGCTTGATAAAATACAAGAATGATCTTCTTTTAAATGGACAGCAAAGCTCACAAGCAAATCAGAGAAATCCTCAGAGAACAAAAAAATGAACAGGAGCTTGTACAAAGAGAGTGGGAGGTAGGCAATGACACAGCAGCTGCCCAAGAGGTGTCTGAGTCTGCCACAACCAAGCTGCACTGCCCAAAACTGTTGCCACAGCCACACTCAGCTATTTAAATTTAAATCCACTAAAAGCACGTAAAATTTAAAATTCAGTTGCTTTGTTGCACTAGCCACATTTCAAATGTGGTTATTGGATGCTGTAGTAGCACAGATATACAATATTTCCATGATCAGAGAAAATTCTATTGGACAATGCTGAACAGCTGTCAGTGTTTACAGTCTCACACGGGATAAGGCAAAAGTTTCACCCTATACGAAATGGAAGTCAGACTACAGAGAAGTACATAAAAAGCCTGGCCCCTGAACGACTAGATCAATAAAAAGAACAAACTAGAAAAAAAAAAAAACCTACCCCAAACGGATACTGAAGGAAAATTCTCCCCTGAGTCTAGGTTTATTTGTGTTTTGGGAGGGAAAGGGAAATATTCCCTGGAAATTTGTAACCAAAACCAACCTTCACACAAGTTTCAAGTTCAAATCCATACTACTCACATGCTGTGAACTTCTCAAGCCTAGAAATTAAGTGGCACTAGGTTGACAGTGTCCTCAACCGCAAATCTCCTCTGGGAGAAAGCACTCTTAACACAGGTCTCATAAGAATTTCCACAGAGAAAGTTACAATAAAAATGAGCTCAAAATTTAAAACTATGCATAATAAGCAAGGTTCAACAGAAATAAATAGATTAATCACAAATTCTTTAAAAAGGTCAGTAATAATACTTCAAAATACAACATGAAATGGAAAATATGAGCAAAAAAGAAGACAACAGATCTGAAAAACAATCAAGTGAAAAAGAGAATAACTAGGGCTGGCCTGGTGGTGCAGCGGTTAAGTGCACACATTCCGTTCCTCAGTTGCCCTGGGTTCACGGGTTCGGATCCTGGGTGCAGACAAGGCACCGCTTGGCATGCCATGCTGTGGTAGGCATCCCACGTATAAAGTAGAGGAAGATGGGCACAGATGTTAGCTCAGGGTCAGTCTTCCTCAGAAAAAAGAGGAGGATTGGCAGCAGTTAGCTCAGGGCTACTCTTCCTCAAAAAAAAAAAAGAGAGAGACTAACTAAAATTAAAACTCAATGGAGGGCCAGCCCTGTGGCCGAGTGGTTAAGCTCGTGCACTCCGCTTTGGTGGCTAAGAGTTTCGCAGGTTCGGATCCTGGGGGCGGACATTGCACTGCTCATCAAGCCATGCTGAGGTGGCACCCCACACAGCAGAACCAGAAGGACCTACAACTATGTACTGGGGGACTGGGGAGAAGGAAAAAAAAAGATTGGGAACAGACGTTAGTTCAGGGCCAATCTTAAAAAAAAAAAAAAAAACTCAAAAATGGACAAGTTCAGCAAATTAGATACTGCTAAAGAGAGAATTAATGAGCCAGATGATAGATCTGAAAATATCCAAAATGCAACAAAGACACATAAAAAATGGAAAGGAAGAGTAAGACACGAAAAACAGATTAAAACATCTAATACGTCTATCTAATTGGAGTTTTAGAACATAAAGAATGAGGGAGATATAATATGCAAAAAGAGAATAGCTGAGAATTTCCCTGAATTGATGAAAGATATTAATGTAAAGATTCAACTTCAGCAAATTCCAAGAAGTGTAAATAAAAAGGAAATTGACACCTAGAGACATCACAGTGAAACCGCAAAACACCAATGACAGAGTTCTTAAAAGCAACTAGAAACAAAGGGCAAATTGCTTAGAGAGGAACAATTAAACCTGACAGCTGATTTAACAACCACAACAATGAAGGCCAGAAGACACTAGAATAGCATCTTCAAAGTTCTAAGAGAAAATAAATGTTAAGCTATAATTATACATCCAATTCAGCTAAACTATTTTTTCAAGAAAAAGGACAAAATTTAAAAAATTTCAGACACAAACTGAGGGAATTATACCGTAAACAGATCCTCATGAAGGATGTTTCTAAAACTGCAGTTCACAAAAAAATTGGAAAATGATGCCATAAAGAAGGTCTGAAATACAGGAAAGAACAGTGAGAAAAAACAATTGTAAACATGAGTAAATGCAAGCAATTATCAGAGCTATCATTTCTAAATTAGGACTTAGAAAAAAAAGCTAAAGTACTGAACAAAACCAGCATGTAATCTAGAAGGGAGGCAACAGGAATGGAAACGTTCCAAGTTCCTTATGCTGTTCTGCAGGAGGAAGATACAGCAGACAGTGCCTTTTGTTCACATGTCTTCCTTGCTGCGGCCTCCCTGGGGGTGCAGGATACTCCCCACCTCATGGATGTGGGGGCCTGGCCATACGACGTGTTGGGATGCGGGCAGAACTGACACTGCACCAGCTCTAACTGGAGGCTTTAAGAGCACTGAGCTTGTCCGTGTTCTCTTGCCCTCCTACACTGCACTTCAGGTAGCTGCTGGTACCAGAATCAGTAGAAACCTGGCACAGGACTGAACCCGACCCACAACCAACCCCAGCCAGACTCAGCAGAGGCTGCCGAACCTGTGACCTAGAAATAAATGTCTGTCATTGCATGCCACTGAAATTTTGCAGCGGTTTGTTACACCATACTATTACAGCAAAAGACGACTAATACAGAGGGTAAAGATATTAACTTTAAATGCAAATTAAACGTGCGAGTTTTAGGGGCTGGCCCCATGGTGTACTGGTTAAGTCTGGCAGCCCCAGTTCACGAGTTCAGATCCCGGGTGCAGACCTACACCACCCATCAGCCATGCGGTGGCAGCAACCCACATATAAAGTGGAGGGAGACTGGCACAGATGTTAACTCAGGGCTAATCTTCCTCAGCAAAAAAAGAGAGAAAGAAAGAAAAAGAAAAAGAAAGAAAGAAAAAGAAAAAAATTTGTGTTTTAGTTTTACTAAAAAGTTTTACTCACTAAATTTGAGACCATGTATATACACATATACACATATTCACACATATACATACATATACACAAACACACATATATACTGATACCATTTATATACAGTTCCAAAATATGTAAAATTAACAATGTGTTGTTTAGGGATATAGACATAGGTAATATAACCATAAAGAAAAGCAAGAGAATGCCAGACCCCAAATGGAGGATGATGGCTTGCTCAGGACAGCAGTAGGACAGAGCAGTCCTGGGGAGATGGGATCCAAGAAGGTATTGGTAACGTCCTATCACTTAAGCTGAGGGAGGGGATAGCATAGACATCATTATATTAGACCTTACATAACACATATTACGTGTCTTTTGTACGAATGTAACATTTTATAATATTTAAATATGAAAAAGCAAAAATTCTCCAACAAAATTCAGAATGATATAATCATAAATAAATGTAACATTGATTATAAATAAAGGAGTTAAATGCATTTATAATCTTTAAGACACCATTAAGAGGCAGAAGCAGTTGTGGTGACTCATTTATTCTTTAAAAGTGAAAGACAGGGGGCTGGCCCCGTGGCCGAGCGGTTGGGTTCGCGCGCTCCGCTGCAGGCGGCCCAGTGTTTCGTTGGTTCGAATCCTGGGCGCGGACATGACACTGCTTGTCAGACCACGCTGAGGCGGCGTCCCACATGCCGCAACTAGAGGGACCCACATCGAAGAATATACAACTAT